CTTGACCCAAGCTTCTTTTGTTGGGAGTCTAGGTCTTGGTCACTGGCTTTGTGTGCTGGCCTCTTATGTTGGCAATTGGAGGCTGTAGGTTCTGGCAGCTTACCTCATGTTAGGCTGGACTCAGCAAGGCTGGAACTTTCAGGCAATTCTAGGTTGCCTGCTTTTCCTTTCCTTTAGCTTTCTTCAGCTCCTTTTAGATGGGTGGTGCAGGGTGTTTATCTGCCTGGGGCCCCTTGCAGTGCTGCCTCCTGTTTCTGCTAATGCACTGGGAGATTCCTTTGTAGAGTCTGAGGCACCTGGTGGTTTTCTGAGCTGGCTTCCACCAGTTCCCCGCCCTCACTGAGGCACTGGAGGTCCAGGTGTTGTGTTTGCTGCTCTACCACCTGGGCTTCAGGATTCTCTTCCAATTGGAGGCTGCAGGGCTCAGACAGCTCACCTGGGGTTGGGCTGGAACCAGCAAGGCTGTGGCTTTAGGAAGACTTTAGGTTGCTTTTTTCAGCTCTTTTCAGATGAATGCTGCAGGGTACTTATCTGCCTGGGACCCCTTGTAGTTCTGCCTCCCTTATTTTTGCTGAGGCAGTGGGAGACCTGCTTGCTGGGCTGCTGCACTGCTGCTTCCTATCTTTCTTCTAGTTCAGCTGTTCCAGGGTTTTTTTTCTGGGGTGATATTTTCTGGGTTTTCAGAGGTTGATAGGGGAGAGTGAGATTAACTACCTTTTTACTCTGCCATCTTGGCTCCCTAAAGTGGAAGCGTTGAAAGTATTTTGAGCACAAATTGTTTTTCTATCACCTCCTTATGCTTTTTGTTATATAGAAATGTGGATGAATTTTGTGCATTTTTTTAATTGCCCTAATTCTATTCAAAGTCTTGTCTCAGTTTTTTTGCTGATACCCTTAGATTTTCTGAGCAAAGCATCATATCATTAACAGATAGGGAAGTTTTATTTCCTCTTTGACAGTGTATGTGTCCTTATTTCTTATTTTTATCATCGAGCAGGTAGGTGGTACAGTGGATGGAGTACTTGTCCCTGGAGTTAGGAGGAGCTGAATTCAAATCCTGCCTAAGACACTTAGCTGTTTGACCCTGCACAAGTCACTTAACTATTTGCCTTAATTCTCCTTCTGTAAAATGAGTTGGAGAAGGATATCATAAATCAGTTTAGTATCTTTGCCAAGAAAATCCCAAATGGAGTCACAAAGTGTTAGACATGACTAAAATGACTGAACAACCACAACAATTTTTTTTTGTGTTAAAAATGTTCCTTCTATGCCAACTTTTTTAGTAAGTTTTTTTTAGCATAAATGAGTTCTATTTTTTTTCTTTTGTGCATCTCATATAATCCTATGATTTGAGACTATTTTATGAAGATCAATTGTATTATTTTATTAATATTTTATTACATCTTTATTACATCTAAATCCAATTCTAAATCAGTAATAATGAAATATATGGATACATATATGCTCAACTTTATGTATTTGTTCATACATACATATTCATATATAAAATATAGATAGGTGCAGATATGTTCACACGTTACATTATACGTAATGCAGATATACATATATTCTCTATTTGATTTATATTTGCGCATTAATATCTCTTAAGGTTAACAGTCTGTATTGTTTCCTGTATCTCTCCCTGGGTTATATATTAAGCCTACGTTTGTTTCAGGGGAAAAAAGTTTTTTAGCTTCTTTCTTTATCAATTATTGAGAAGAATTTATATATTTATATTAATAACTAAAATATGACAGAATTCACTTGTGAATATATTTAAAAGAGGATTTTCTCACTTTGTTAGTTTCTATATGCATTACTCAATTACACTTTTTGGCACTGGGATATTACAAATCTCATTGACTTTTCTATCAAGTTATTTCAAAATAATTTTTAAAAAATCATCCACTAGCTCTAAATCCTTACTTACACTAACAGATATGCATATAAAAAGTTATGATAATTCTTTTAAATTTCCTGTCTGCTTTGAATTAAACACTCTTTTCCCCTCTTCTGGGAATTTAATGTTTCTCTCTTTTTTAAAAAATAAAATTAACTGATGATTTTTTTTAATCTGGTTTATCTTTTCAAAGAGCAACTTGATAATTATATTTATTATTTCTACTTTTCCTTTTTGCCTGTTGCTCCTCTAGTTTCTTTGTTTGTACATGTAATTGTTGAACTCCTAAGTTTTTTAATTGTGCACTCAGTTCCCTAATACTATTTTCTTTCAGATTTATTAGTACATGCTTTCAGATAAGTATGTATTCCATACATATACACATATGTATGTTATAAAAACATATATTTCTCCCATTTAATCTATATCACAATTGTGTAATGTTTATTATTAGCATTCTCTTTGACATAAGTGTAATTATTTCTTTGTTGGTGATTTGTTTTTGAGCCACTAATTATATTCTCTGGACTTATGCACTCCAACTTATTTGCACTGATAAGTTGCATATTCAAGGTAAGGCTACTACTACATCTGCCCTCAGAGTTTCAAAGCCAATACTTCCAGCCTGTGGGATTCTTCCAATGTTATAAATGCCAAAACTGCCTTCCTAGCTTCCTTCCTTCCTTCCTTCTTTCCTTCCTTCCTTCCTTCCTTCCTTCCTTCCTTCCTTCCTTCCTTCCTTCCTTCCTTCCTTCCTTCCTTCCTTCCTTCATTTCTTCTTTCCTTCTTCCCTTCATTTGTTTTAACCTTTTCTTCCTTCATGATGAAGATGAGGATGTGATTAAAATTCAGCTCAACTTGGTACCTGTAGGCTGTCTTATTGCCTGAAATGCACTCTCTACTTACCATTACCTCTTAAAATACTTCTCTTCCCTAAGTTTCAACTTAGGTTTTACTTCTTCATGAAGTTTTCCCTTATATTTTTTTCAACTGAAACCTATGCTTTTGATCTTCAAATTTTAACAGGGAATTTTTCTCATGTTACCTTTGTCTCCATCCCTTGATCCTACTTTTGTACATATCATATTCTCATGAGTAGTATATAAGCTACTTGAGAGGAGGAAACTATATTCTTTTAAAAAATAATCTTTGAGAACAGCTAGGTAGTGCAGTGGATAGAGTACCGGTCCTGGAGTCAGGAACATCTGTGTTCAAATCTGGCCTCAGACGTATAATACTTCCTAGCTGTGTGACTCTTGGCAAGGCACTTAATGCCAAATGCCTCACTAAAAAAAAAAAATATATATATATATATATATATATATATATATATATGTATATATATATATATATATATATATACATATATATATATTATAATAATAATCTTTATTTCTTCATCACCTAGAACATTGCCTGGCACATAGAAGGTGTTTAATGACTTTTTAAAAATTTAATCAATTGAAAATATAATTTGTTACATCTCTGTATGATCACTTAGACCAACTATACAGTAGAAAACTGAAATAGAGACCCATATAAAAATGACAAAACAAAGCAAAATTTTTAAAAAAGGTACTGTTTCCATCACTCTGCTATTGAAATGGGGGAAAATGTGTGTATATGGGTTAAAGAATGACTTCACCTCAATTACCAGGTTGATTTCCATCAGTCATATCAACATATCTTTCTATGTCTGTGTAGATATAATCTTAGATACTATTTCAATAAAGTTCCCAGAATTTGACCAACAACTCAAAAGCTAGCTAAAATATGTAGACTTTTTAAAAATATAACCTGTATGAGTAGGATATGTCTACATACTGATGATGGATTAGTGATATAGTCAGACAGTTACATCACTCCCTTCACCCTGGGGAGATGTGACATACAGGGACAAATAGAGTGAATGATGAATATCCTTGAATTCAAGTTTTAACTCTAAAGGATTTTTTTTCAACCTTCATATTTACCCTTATTTGACCTACTCATATCATGAGTAAATAAATTAATAATAATTAAAATAATAATACAACTTACATTCATATAGCTCTCTAAAAATTTCAAGATGTTCTATACACATTCTCATTTGATCCTCACAATTTTGTGTTACAGGTGCTATTATTATACTTATTTTCACATGAGGACAAAGATAATAGCCAAATATGTGACTATGTGTCACACAGCTAATATGTGTTTCAAGTCAGGTGGGAACTCAGACCTTCCTAACTTCAAGTACAACATTCTAACAACATTGCTTCTCTCAAATTTGTTCACCCTACTTTGGAACATTCAATTTCCTTTGTCCACTGAAGGATGAAACCTTACATTGCTCTAAAATCAATATGCCATCCAGGTACCTAGAAACCATACAGCTGGGTTTTTTCTGGATTCAACTCCTGAAATGTACAGTTTCACTTCCCAATACCAGGCCAAAGCAAGAAACTAGGAATGTCAGTGAGAATGAGAACGTGTAAATATTTTACTTTTTTTGGAGGCAATCTAAGGTAAGCAACTTGCCCAGGATCACATAGCTAGCAAATGTCTGAGACTGGGTTTGAACTCAGGTCTTTCTGACTCTAAAACCAATGCCATATTTTATCCTTTTTTAAAATAAAATATAACTATCCATAAATTTGGTGCATAGGATCAATAAACTCATAATCAGAGCAAGAAAGTATGCATTTTTCATGTTCTTTGTTATCCCCAAACCTATTACAATTAGATAAGAGTCAGAAAATTTAGTTAAACTGATGTCACTCCTGAGAGCATGGGTTTCTGTTGGTGCAGTGTAAATTAGGCTAATTGAAACAGCCACATTGTTTTGGTTCCATATCGAGTTTATTATAGTTTTATGTAACCTAAGGATCACTCACAACTTTCTTGAATAGTGAAAAAATTTATAAAATGGGACTATTTAAATGAAATCATTTTTATGAGTATATCAATTAAATTAATTCAATTATCATTAAATTTTTCATTATTTTTGTAAAATGTGCACTTGCATCTGTATTAATCAATATTTCCTGGCTTCCATCCTTTCTTTCCTCACCCAAGTTATCTTTCCAGATTCCTAAATTATCTGTAGTGATAACAGCTACTCAGTGGGGAGTGGGTAGGAGAACAGAGAAAAAGGCTTTCAAGAGATCAACCTCTGCTAGGCAATTGGACATAGTCACCTAGGGAGGAAAGAAGAATGGAACAAGTGAGGAGAAAATGTCTTTTAAATAAATGTCTAAAAATGAAATAAAAGGCAGTTAAGCTAAAGCAGATTAAATCTTAAAGAAAAAAGGGGAAGAAATCAATGGCAAGAGAAAATTTAAAATAAAAAGCAAAATAAAGCATTATTTTTTTTCTCCATTATATATCTCAATTTGGACCCTGCCTTTTTTGTTGGTGTTATTTTTTTTTAATTTAAAAAAAAGAGGAGATAAAGAACAACCTTCATTAAGCTACTGCACTCTGTTAAGTAAGCAATTTTGGTGGAAAGTGTTGGTAACACAGGGAAATAAAAGGTATAAAGAGCAAAAACATATGAAAGCAGAGCAGTTTATAAAGGAAAAGAAGGAGCAAATAAATAATACATATTTAAAAGGAAAGATTTGAAAATAAATAAATAAATTCAAAACATATCCAAACAGCAAAGCAACTCCATCCCTGCTAGTGAAAATGCAAAGCAAGGCCTAAACAGGCCACCTGGGGCAATGAACAGCACAGTCAAAATGAAAATCATCTGAAGAAGTTGAAAGAAAAAGCCAACTTATTTTTACATGTCTACCCAAGCAGAACACACAAACATGTCTATTAGCCAATTTGAAATGCTGTTACTCTGTTTTGCCTTGTCTTTGAATGTAGAAATGTAAAAACAAAAAACAAAATGAAAAAAGAAATCTGAAGCCTAGAAAATAATTAGGACTTAATTTGAGGAATATGAAACAAAAAATTCTGAGTGAGGCAGGCAGGTGAAATACAGAGAGCATGGAATAAGGCAATCTTGAAAAAGCTTTAGTTTTGCCACTTACTGAGATGATAGGTCGTTTATAAGGGATTATTCCTGAAGGGAAGAACGGCAATCTGCAAACACTTAGCTGAGGTAGGTAGGGAACTCTCATCAAGAATTTCAGGTCACTGATTTTCACCTTTTGATGGTTCAGCTGATCTGTCCTCTGGCTCATAGATAAAAGTTGTTCACACTGAGCTTGCTTTGACCATAATTTGGAAGGCATGTAAATTGAACTACATTAACTAGTCAACACATTCTATGTGTTTAGCATAGTGAAGTCAGCTTTGGAAGTTAAGAAAGCAAGGTAAGTCACAGGAATTTATATTTTAATAGAGAAAACAAGACCAATATGCATGACACCATTAGAGATCATGACATTTTATTACTGTGTGCTAATTGGATGGCACTAAATAATGTAGACACACAAAAAAAGGCCTATAGAAGAGAGCATTCAGTGTGGGGGTGAAATCAGTCAGTTTACTAGCATTTGTTGAGTGTTCTCTATGTAGCAAATACTATACAATGTGCTGAGGAGACAAAGACAAAAATGAAACAGTGCCTGATTTCAAGGAGCTTACATTCTACAGAGGAAAATAGGATGTGCAATACTCATATCTACAGAATAGGTCATAAAGACTTGACCTATAATTTCTTTTACATAGGATTTCTATGTTGAGGAAAGTCTCCCTACCAAAGCAATTCAGCCTTCTCTCTGTAACTTTTAGTCATAGATACTAAAGACTTACAGAGTTGTCTAAAACAACAAGAGCTTAGATGAACTAGCTCGGTCACACAATCAGTGTATGTCTGTGACAGGACTTGAAGCCAGGTCTTCCTGGTTCAAGGCCAACTGTCTATTTTGTAAGCTGCCTCCCACACATGAAATAAGTGCAATGTAAGGGGAGGGAGTCAAGTACTAACATCTTGGAGGATCAAGACAAATTTCATATTCAGAGTGAAATTTGAATTAATGTCGAAGGCTTCATAAAGAAGATGAAGCCTTGAGTTGACACTTGAAGAATGGGAAATATATGGACAGGCAAAACAGTCCTAGATAAAGCAGACCTCCCTATTACAGGATATTTCCCCATAACTACAGAGGAATCACATTTTGAATTCATAATAATGTCCTTGAATCATGGCTAGAACTTGGAGCTGATTATGAATTGTGAAATATTAAGTTATGTTGATCTTAGTTGCATCATTTACAATCATCTTATTCTTTGAAAATTGACAACTCATATATGGTAATGTGTAAAATTTCTGGTCAATTGTAATATGTAAATAACTAGAAAACACTATGCCTTAATCATAATAGAGCACATTGTCTTCCTGTTATGCAGAACAAAAGGTGTTACAAACGCAAGAAAGAATTTATTTACAACACCTTCATCCTATGCTATCCCACAGTGCTAAACTTAAAATCTATTTTTAAAAAAAGGGAATTGAGCTCTTAACTTATTTTCATTCTGCCTCTCCAAGAACTGTTTATAGTTTAGAAAGGGTATCTTTTTTTTTTATTGTCAATCTACACAAACTACCTCTTAGTCCTAAAAAAAAAGATAAACCCTCAATCCTTCCTTTCTTGCTATTATCCAACTTCTTCCTATCAGTTTCTTCCCAGTGAAACATTAAGCCCTGACCTACTAATCTTAGGACTGCCCTTACCTTTCTTGCTCCCACTCATTCCTTTTATTACCACTACCCGTTCTGTCTCTCTCTATTCTAGTACAGAATGATTCTGTTTCTGCTCTAGTGACCTAGAACCTTTTAAATCACAATTTAAATATTGTTGCCAAGTATGACCTAAGAATAGCAGACTGGATTCAGAATCACGTTTAAACATATGTCTCAAAAGGGATGGATGGTTCTTCTTTCTTTCAACAGTTGACTATAGTTTCTTTATTTCTCTTGTATCTCTCCCTATTTTAAAATGTATTTTTTTCAAAAGAATTGGGACATTTTCCCTCAATATCATGGAAGGTCTGGGTTTCATGTAAAATCATAAATAAGTAAATCCCCACAAAAGAATATAATATGAATATATATCTGCTTATTGAGGCTGCTCATAAGCCACCATAGAATTTTATATATCTTTTAGATGAATCACTCATAGACTGGTATATAGGATTTTGCCTCTTTATATGGGTGCCAAAAGATAAGACTCCTAACAATTTATTTTTAAAAGGCACTTCTTCCAAAACTAATGCATTTTGGCATAAACTATCAAAAACAGAAATAGCACACCTGGCTGCCAAAGTCATACTGTGAATCTATCAGTAGGACTTACAGCACAGCAGCAGCATTAGTCACTCTCAGAAACATGGTCAGCCCTTACATTCTGTTATGCTGAAAATCATAAGCTTTATGATTCCACAGTCCTAGGTCACTGAATAATGTTTTACTCATGTACATTATTTCAACTATTCTTGTCTTGGCAATATTACCTTTTTAAAAGATTTACATTAACTGATTTCATGCCAAGATATATTCTCAATTTGCCAGTTAACTATGCAAGTGTTCTTGTGCATGACAGAAATGCTGCAATTATATAATACTATGTTTCTTTCAAGTTGTCTAAAAATTAGATGTAACTGCCGGTTATTTTCTTTGAATTTTCCCCCACCTTCCCAAAAACTGATATATGAGTCTATTATGTATGTGTATGTCTATATACATATATATAGACACACACACACACTGTCATATATATATGTATATATGTATATACACACACACACACACACACACACACACACACACATATATATATATATATATATATATATATATATATATACTGTCATATATCTATACAGACAGTTCTGTGGATGAATAATTAAGTGATACTTCATTAGCATGGTGAGTATTAAGCTGTAAATGGGAATACCAATGATGTTTTTTAAAGAATGGAAGAAAAATGAGCAATAACTTATTGAGAGGGAAAAGAATATAAAACAAAAGGTGAACATTAGTGATGAGTAAGTGAGACAGTCAGAAATACTCTTTAGGGAGCATGAGTGACAATGACAGAATTGTGGAGCAAGGTTGTTAGAAATATAAGTAAAACACTGTAGCAATAATATTTTCAGTCTAAACAAGCTTCTCAGAGGATGCAAATACTTTGAACATAACAAGCTTCCAAAGGGTATCATTAATTAGAAATTGGAATAATCTTCAAATATAAAATTGTGAAACCATTTACTTTGATTATAGAAATCTATGATATTTTTATTTGTTTTTGAATTGAATATAATCACTTAAATCCTCCTCCCTGACTCCATTGGTGCCATTTCCAGTTAAGTAGAAATGCCTATTGTTTTATGATTTAAAAAAAACACACATTCTAAATGCATTTTCAGATTAGTGTTTGTGAGCATTTTTTTATCTAGTAGTCAACTCAAGTTATTCATTAATTTCAATTTGATATCAATATTAATTTTCATCATTAATATAAAATCAGGTGGCGTATTTGAAATGAGTTTTCATAAAGCCTATGTTACTAATGGTAATATGACTTCAGGAACAGATTAGACATGCATTTAGATGAATATGTCATTCTTGAAATAAAGAGAAAAAGAAACTGCAAATACTGAGGAAATTTCTTGATTTTCTCTTTGTTGACTTTACTAAAACACCTCAAAAACTTTGTAACATCTGTCACATACATGTCCCGTTATTTCCTCTGACACTGTTATCACTGTGATGCAGGCCCTCACCATCTCACACCTAGACTATTGAAATCTCCTACTGGTTTATTTCCTTACCACAAATCCCTTCTTTAATCTAGTCCACTGGGCTGTCAAATTGTTCCTAAAGTGATCACCTTGCTATTCAGTCAAATCCATTGGCTCTTTATCATCTCCAGGGTCAAATATAAAATCTCTGTTTGTCATTCAAAGCCCTTCATAAGTTATGCAGCTCTTGCTTTTCCATTCTCCTTACACCTTTGCTCACTCCTATATACTCTGTGATCCAGTGACAATGGCTTTCTTAATCTTCCTCACATAGAACACTCCATCTACTGATCCAGGTACTTTCACTATATCCCTTGCCTGGAATTCCTTCCTCCTTTGTCTCTGGCTCATGCCGTATCTGCCTTTCTTCAAGTGCCATCTAAGATCTTACCTCCTACAAGAAAAAAAAAAGCCAAAAATACCTTTTTTTCTGAATCTTCGTTAATACTAGTGCTCTCTTATTTTAATTATCTTCAATTTATCCTTCACACATCTCGTTTGTATGTAGTTGTTTGCATATTGTTTCCTTCATTAGATTGTGATATTCTTGAGAGCAGGCATTGTATTATGCATTTGTCTTGTGTCTCCAGTGCTTAGCGCAGTGTTTGGTACATATTAGATGATTAATAAATCATTGTTAACTGACTGAATTAATTGATGACTCTTTCCCCTTCTTTCCCAGTACTCATGCAACTTATATACTTGCCACAAGCTTGCCCTAGGTAGGAAATGGGAGACCTAGATTCAAATATGCACATCTCGAGAAGAGTGTACTACAAATGAGAGTGGAATTTGGTGTCACCCTACCCAAAGTTTTATTTTCATGGTGACCACTATTGGGCCACTATTTATTTAATGGTAGCCCAGACTAGTTTAAAACTTGGAAGTTTCTGGTATCAGTCAGAATCTCAGATGCTGAATATACTTTACACAAAGAAGCATTTTGATTCATTCTGGTCTTGCTCATAAGATGTTAACTATTAGAATATCATATCCACAGATGTGTAAGATAACTTTTCATCTCCTTCTACAGGTTTTCCTATTACTTAATTTCCAAAGGCAATATGGTTGGAGAGGATAGAGACTGAATTAGGAGACATAAGTCCTAGTTCTGGTTCTGCTATTATCTCACTGTATATCTTTGTGAAAGTCAGTTTATCATTTGGAGGACAGGTGAGGGTGTAGATTGTGATCTCCACTGATGATCATGACAGTACTAAGTGGAGACCTGGGGTTTCACTGGTTAAAGAAGTGGTGAAGCATGCCTGAAATACTCACCCTCCAATCCTCAGTCAGGTCAGCTCTGCCACGAGGGAAAGTAGGTTACTTCCTCTACATTTCTCCCTAATTGGCAATAGTTAAGTTTGGCAATCTACAAAATGGGAAATAATTCGAGATTGGCACAGTGTTATAAAGTATTGTCACAAGTAGGTCACAAGAATCTCCAAATAATTTCTAGTTTAAATTTTAATTTGTATGATTAGATCCAAAATATTATAGATATATTATTTATAATAATTCAAATAACTCAAATAGTACTCAAAAAAATTCTGTCCCTTCCATTCAACTAATAATAGCTGATATTTAAATCACACTTTGTCTAAATTACTTCATATGAGTCTCACAACAATCCTTTGAAATCAAGGCACAGATACTAGCTGTGTGATTCTGAGCAAATCATTCAAATTCTCTCAGCCTAAATTTCCAAAATACAGAATGGGGATAATAACACTTAAGTCACAGCATTACTGTGAATATTCAACAATCTACCTTGATCATAAGGAAGGAAATGGGGGTGGAGCCAAGATGGTGAATTAGGGGCAGCTACCCAGGTGAACTTTCCTAATATTGCCTTCCAATTAACTTTAAAATAATGACTCATAGCAAATTTTGAAGCAGCAAAACCAAGAAAAAAATCAGGTTGAAATGTTTTTCTGGCCTAAGAAAACTTAAGACATAGTTAGGAGAAGTCTATAACACTGTGATGGAGATCTGGTAGAGTCTGTCTAGAGTCCAAACATCTGGCAGAGGACACAGTGGACTCAGCAGCAGAAACAGCTTCTGGAGCTCTCAGCTGAGAAATCTTGAGGGGGGATGAGGTGTCAAACAACTGTTCAGAAAGCGATCACAGGGGACCTTTGGTTGGCATTGCATCCAGCTGGTGCTGATTGGCAAATCTATTGCCCATACGCAATTCTAGACCAAAGTTTCAGGGTGGAGAGGAATGCTGATAACCATTCATAAGGGAGGAGGTCACAATACCAAAGCTGGTGGGTGCAGCTGCAGGGAACCAAGTAGTCTTCCTTGGAAAAGACCAGAGCACATAACAAAAAAATAGTGACATTACTTCTTCCAGGATCAGACCACCTTGGAAGCAACAAAAATTTGCAGACCCTTAGAACTAACTATATATGCATTGTTTACCATAAAGAGAAACACAAGCTCCTTTCCCTCAGTAACTGTTTAACATTTTTTTTTCATCCCCAGAACATTGCAAATTCCCCTTCATGCAGCCGGTACTGAATACATTCTTATTGCAATGAATTGAATGAATATAATTTGGAGGATTTCTACACATGAATCTATTCATATGGAGGCACAAAAATTTGAATCCCAGAAATTAAGTGATTGGGCCAGTAAAAATCATTTGCAAGAAAAAAAATCAATTTTTGCATCAAATTTCTAGAGTTGCATTTGAAACTTTGCAGATAAAAGACAAGCTTAAAAAAATATATACTTTATCCTCTGATTTTAAAGCCTTGATCAAAAAAGATACTCTGTAACCTACTTAGATGTTAGACTACAAAAAGCTGATAAGATTTAAAATAACCGAATTGTCTTTAGAAAAAGAAAAGGGCAAAATGAGAAATATTGATAACTTACAAGTGACTATTTCAACCGCAGTTGAGTACTGACCATGCAACTGTAGCTGGTATGTTATACCTAAGGAATGTTATACCAT